GAGAGAGAGAGAGAGAGAGAGAGAGAGAGAGAGAGAGAGAGAGAGCGTAAAACGGCCTCTAATTACGCCGATACGATACGCAATTATTCATCTACGCCCGTCAATCCGACGCCGTGGCGTTTCTCCGCGTCGATGGATCCGCGAGCGGATCGCGGGATTGACGTGCACAGCCGGATAATTATTGAACGAAATGCAGGAATCCTCGGCCCGTTCCTTGACGATCACGCGGCCGGAAATAATGCCAATTAACGCGCATCTCGTGGTGGAATCTCGTTGGTGGCAAAACTACGTCATCCCTTCCCTCCGCGCGTCGTAGATCGTAGCGATCGTAGACAGGTCGGTGTCGGTGTGAAAATCTGACCTGGATCAGAAGAAGAGGAGGATAAGCGAAATACACAGAGATGAAGAGGGATGAAAGGAAGGAAGGAAGGAAGAAAGGGGCGAGGGAGGGTGCTACGATTCACCTCGCCTCGTTGTCGAGGGATGCCCGCCTGCCTCTCTTTCCACTCTCTTCCGAGACTCCCGAGACTCCACCACCTCTGCAACCTTCATTCATGCATCACTCCACGAGCTCACCCCGCAGCTCCCTCTGCCATCCTCTGCCGCGTCTCTCTATCCCCAACCGCGGTGACTGGTGGCACGCGTGGCAGAGCGGAGGCGTAAGCACGAGCCGACGTCGCCCCAGTTAATCACCCGTAAGACGAGCTCACTTCGACACGTGACGAAACACGGCCGGTATCGTGTCGGCCACCTGTGAAACGAGCACTGATCTGGAAGAGGGCGCGAGAGAAGAAGGATAAGGTCGTTCGATAAGGTTCGCCGGGGGACCCTTTGGCGAGAATTCAGCCGCAAGAGAGATCGCGGCGAGTAAATTCAAGGAATTTCAGCGTGGAGTTGTCGCTTCACGGGGAATACACGCTCTCTTTGGAGGGAGGCTTGAGTTTAATTAATAAGCGGATAAAAACGGCGAAAGATGGATATTGATCGATCGATTAAAAAAAATAAGCGACCGGGTCACGCAAGGTCAAGCGATTAACGTCCTCCAAATGAAATCTCTATCGCCACCGTTTTTTTCTTTAAAATTCCGGCGCTGTTGCCTCGAACGAAACGAGTCGAGGCAATTCCGTCACCGAGATAAAGACGCTCTGTTCATGTCTGTGTCTATATTTATTATTATATCACCGGCTCGAAAGATGAAGACGTTGGCTTAAAGAGCTTAAAACTTCTTCCACTCGTTACCCGTAAATC